TGTTTGACTTGGAATGATATATTGAGAAAACTTACTTCAATTGTGCCCGCAGCTGTTTTGGCATCGATGGAACGGTTCATCTTCTGTCGGAAACATCAACAAAAAGAGTAAGTTAGGTATTCAATTTGCAGGATGCTAGATATTGAGACTTGGGATTGGAACAAGTATAAAAATTGCAGACTCTACCTCAATGCCTGACATATTTCTCATTTTGCGCTTGAACTCACCATTTTGTACTCTCTAAGATCATTAAGATGGAGCACCTCATTTAATTATTTCAAGAAAAAAAAATCAAAACTATTAAATTAAAAACTTTTCAATCTTTGTGTTAATGAGTAACCTTTAATATTTCAGGATCATTCCAAGGACCCTTGTCTGAGACCATGCAGCCTCCTTTGTCTGCACAGTTACAGCTACAGCCCAAAAACTCCGGCAGCTCGCTGTCGAAAAACGAAAAACCGAACTAAGAAATATTTTGAACATAGAAAGATATGTAACGAGAAACAACTATGAATCCGATCAGTCGAGAAGGGACTCACTTAGCATCAATCACTTCCAGCAATTTGCTCTGGTATTTGTTACCCAAAACCTGGTGAAATATAACACAAAAGTTGTTTGTCTGTTGATCAACATTATAATTATATCTTGCTTCAAGTAATTTGGTGGATTTATGTACTTACATGGATTTTTGAGGTGGTCTTCGGGTCGAGGAATGATTTAACCGTGCTCCATAGGAGCCTGAAGCCAGAGCCAGCATTGATGATAAACATTCTGTTCAGAATCTGCAATATATAGGCTTTGTATTGGTATTGTCTTCACTGAAAAAATAAACTTTGTTACTAACTGAGGTTAAGAAGTACGATTACCTAGGGATAGTTGTCACTGTCGATCTTCTGGAGGCGCTGTAGGAGCTTCCTTGCAGCCTTGTTGAAGCTTTTAAGACCCTGAAAGTTTTAATTCATAGTAACACATATACATTCACACATTCATACACACATATATATAAAACATAGTTCACATACCACTCCTTCAACATCCAATATGGTTGTGCTTTGATTAATCTGCCCTTTTGCAGCAATGGATGCAGCAGGGAACTTGACAGCAAAGGTCTTCTCGAACTCCTTTATGTGGTACTTCAGATATCGGTCGATCGTCGTGACTTGAGTCAGCTTGTTAGCATCAACCTGACCGAGCCTTTAGATATAAACAGGTCGTCCATCTTTATCAACTCCATGATATCCTTGTGGATAATACTTGATCACTTCATTGTATTCCTTGAAATCAAAGTCCTTAACATCGAAACCGCACCCGAACGAAGCAAGTTCAGATTGCAGATCATAAAGTTGCAATACACACACATATATAGCAGTGATTGATTCAATGATTCTTGTGCTTACCTCCATGATTGTGCCAGCCCCAAAATCCTTCCTCCATTGGATCATATCAGCCCACATTTGCTTCGCTTAATCGAGATCGAATTTCCTCGCCCTAAAAAAGCTGCATCCAGAGCTAATGAGCAGTTAAAACATGTATGTAGCTACCATTCATATAGAAATTCAAATGAAAGATTGTGTGACCTTAGCATCATATGATGGTCATCATGTTTAGAAGGCAATAGCTCATCTAATATAAGTGCTTGTTGGAACGCGTCGACCGCCTGCAATTCCTCAACATCGATGTTGTCGTCGATACTTCCGGCGGACATAACTCTACTGTGTTTCCTGGTTCTCTTTTTTAAGAGAATTCCTGAACCTGCTGGAGGCACTAGCTGCCATTTTCTTAAGAGATCCAATCCTTTTCTTCCTTTCATCCTCAGAGCTCTCTATATCAGATTTTTCAGAACCTGCAAAAAAAAAACAAAGCCATTAAAGTTATTTATCATTTTAAACAAATAGAAGAAAAATCTTGCAATGCTTGAAGAAGAAGAAGACTAACTCATTTTAGCTGGTCGTTCAACAGGTAGTGCCAAGGTGTCAGCCATGATTACTTACACCTGTAAACACATTCAAGTATATGAAACTAAGACATTGAAATCAAATATTTTATGGGAAACCAAACACTGGAAATCAAAATCTTGTGCAAGATGAAAGAGGTGATGATGTACCTTATGAGAGTTGGTGGCTGAGGACTAATAGAGAAAGGAAGAGTTGTGTGTATATGTATATATATATTGAATAAGTTGATATGTACTAGAAAACAGCATGGCATGTTTGAGATTCGACAGATTTTGGCTATTGTGGAAAAGCATATGATTTGTTTTCTTTTATGTTTTCTCCTTAACTGTAGGGTTAATGTGTCTTTCGGCCCCTGACTTTGGCTTTGAGATGCAATTCCGCCCTTAACTTCGGTTCTAAAATGCAATTGCGTCCCTGACTTTGACTTTGAGATACAATTCGACCCCTAACTTTTTTAGCAAATTATCCTTAACTAGATATTTGAATTTATATTATATAATTGCATGAGTGGCGCTCCACTAAGCTTTTACTTTTTACTGCTAGGGTTAAGTGCCAACTGGCAATTCATTTCATATATAATATATATATTAATCAATGAAGAAATTAAAGAAAGGGAGGTTGGACTAGGAATTGTGAAGATTTTGTCAACTTTAGCACGAAGAGACTAGGGCCGTAAATGAGATGAGACAGATCGCGAGCTACTCGAGATTGATTTAGTCAAGGCTCGATAAATACTCGGATCGAATGGATTCGAGTCGAACTCGAACTTGACTCGAATTCTTAACGAGTCGAAACGAGCTACTTGATACTCGACTCGAAAAGCTCGTGAGCAGCTCGAAAATATAATATATTAAGATTTTATTTTTAAAAAAAATAAATTATTAATAATATTAACATTTATGTGTTGATTGTTTTTAAAAAATACAGTAAGATTTTCATGTATTTAATGTTTATGTTCGAGTTTGAGTTTAAGACTTCAATCTAGTTAAGTTTAAGATTTTTTTTTTCATTTCGAGCCTTTTCGAGCTGCTCACGAGCTTCAGTTCAGGATTTCGAGTTCGAGTCGAGCTTAAAAATTTTAAGCTCGCGAGTTTTCGAGTCGAGTCGAGCTCCATTTCAGAGTTTTCGAGTTGAGTCGAGCTCAGCAATACTCGAGCTCGACTCGACTCGTTTACACCCCTAGAAGAGACTACATGTGAGTCATGACTAATATTTCAACTTCAAAAACTTTATTCCAACTGTCCAACTTAATAATAAATTAATATAATAATATCATACATATAAATTATATCTTTATGCACAGGATGGAGATTTTATTGAAACATTTTACTTTATATAATATTACATGCTTTAATCTTTCATAATAGTCTAGATGATTACCTGATAGTATACGTGTGGAACTTTTTTAACCAATCCACAATGCACACATATTTTGTAAATACAATTATTTAAATCTAATTTTTTAAAAAAAATATATTATATTACAGACTTTAGTCTTAAATTTTAAATATAAAATTATAATTATTAGTTTGCATAATATATTTTTTTGATATTGGGTTACAAGATAATATTTTCATAATTTTTTATAATATATTTTTAAATATAATTTTTCTTAATGGTCGAGGGATTCAACAAAACAAGGCTCTATAATCATAAGACCATTGTATAACTTTTAATAGTCAAAATACTCAACAAAGTATCATCTTGTAGTCGAGGGAATATATATACTTTACTCTAAGTATAACTACTTGAATAAACTTGAGAAATAACAACAAACCATTTAATAACACAATGACTAATTTCAGGAGCGGAGCCAATATTAGATATAAACAGGGGCCAGAATATTAAACTTTTTAAGAAAAATACAATGACTTATTAGGTATTTAAATTTACAATTCAGAAAATAATGTCTAATTTATCTAATAATTAAATTTATAATGACCTAAATTGTTATTAGACAAAAAATTGAGAACATTGGATTATCATTCCTTTTTATATATAACCACCGATTTTCAATCTATTAGTCTACTAATTCGGATCGAGTACTGCAGAGGCGAGGGCAACCCTCACAACCCAGTTTGCTCCATTCATAATTGTCAAGATTCGAACCCTTGATCTTACTTAAAGAATTCAGTGCCTCGTCCCGCTAGAGCAACTGATTGTTGGTATTGAATTATCATTATTTAGTTCGCCCCGATTAAACCATACATAATCTTACATTGCAAGCACATAATAGTCTTACGTTACGGGTAAAGTGTAATATAATGAAATCTCATAACCACCTACTTTTTATGTAATCTTGCATTATGAGCGTTATCTTAAATTTCAAATCAGTTTACTCTTTATTTTTATTACTTTAATCAAATTAATTTATTTTTCAAATATAATTTAAGTCTTATTAAAAAAAATAGTTTTTAAGGGTAGATGTGTTATAAATTTTATGAAAAAAATATAAAATTAAAAAAAATTAATTATGATTGGTTTAAAATTTTGAATTTCAGTCATTAAATTCAATTAATCCAACGAATCTTTTTAATGTAGTAAATTTTTATTTTCATTTATCCAATAATATATGAAATAATTTTAAGTTTATGTGATGTGAATTTGTTTTGGTTAATCCCGGATGATTACAAATGGTAGCATCTATTTTAAATACTCTCAATGATTTGATAAAAATATCATGTAATTGTTAATGCTCGAACTCGAAATCTATAAGAATAGTAATTATCATTTAATAACTGAAGTTGCTTAATTCGTGTGATGTGACATGAAATTTCAGTTGAGTGAACAAGATTTAGAATACATTCCAAAACCATGATGATATATGGGCATATATAGTGTAGTGTGAGTAGTAATCAACAGTAGTAAATTCTTGTTATCTGAATAAAAGTTTTCTCAGCAAAACAGTATCTGCAAATCTGAAACAGGAGACCAGAAGAAGCTTCAGATTCGTTACTCAGAAACGTTTACACTTGGTTTTAGTTAAGATCTCGAGTCGCGGCTGATGAGACGAAACAGTTTTTCTCTTGTCCCGATCCGACTCGATTTTACATCCATCGTCCCGACCTGATTCTGTTTGATGTCTTAATTTGTAACATTCAAATGCTTCTCATTGATACAAGAAGAGTGATTATGTCACTGAAGATCATGATTAAGTAACCATGTACATAGCAGTATACAGCATGGTTTTAAAAAATGGCCCGTGACTGCGATTTCGGCCACGATATAACGGTTTCGCCGCCGTCCGAGTTACCGCGACGGCTGCAATCACGGTAGATCTGAAATAACCGAAATCGCGACCGCGATTTGAAACCCTGGTATACAGTAATGAAAGGAGAAAAAGGCAAATTCAAAAGCCTAAAAAACAATCATTGAAGAACAAAGGGTTCACCAGGATTTGCTCTTGTCACTCAAAATCTTTGCAAATCACCGAGTGTTCTTCTTCTTCTTCCCTCAGAAGCGCTTTTTTCCTTGCAATGAATGCCTCCACCGTGTTCCGAAACTGTTCGCTGCTTAATCCGTCTTCCGGATACAAGCTCTTCACCGTTTTCTCGCCGGAACCGCCGTGTTTTATGTGCTTTTCCGACCCCGATTTCCGCAGTTGCTTGCACTTCTTTCGATTAAGATTCTCCGACTGAGTTCTTCTATAGCTCTTGATCGTCCCCTTCGATGCCGTTGTATGCACATGGAGGCTCGATCTTTTCTCTTGATCAACACATTCAACGTTCTTTTTTCTTTGTTTCTCCATGAACTCGATTTCGTACCGATGAATCATCTGGTTTTTCTCGCTCTTTTCGACGAATTCTTCGTATAGATCGGTGCCGGAAGTTGGTCCTCGAGGCGAAAACTGGCCGGCCTTTGATAACAAAGTGATGACTATGACATTGCCGACTATGAACACGAAGCGAGGGCTCACGAGAACCACCGGCAAGCCCCGGAAATACTCGCCGGAACTTTTAACAGCGACGGGGAGTTGAACTGTAAACCTGGAGATCAATACAAGAACAACACAAAACTCCACGAATCTCAGCAAGCTTGCCACCTTGTTCAAGTGACGATGCTTCAATTTTGCATTTCGATTCTCGAATTTTACGTTGAATGCATCCATTTAAAACAAAACGAAGCAAAGGGATTGAAGGGGAATTCTAATTCAGCAAAGGGTTCATGGAAGAAAGAGATTTGGGGATGGAATTGAAGATTAAGAGGGAAGGTGAAGTTTGGACAAAACAGGAAACAGAGTGAAGTATATAAATTGCTCTGTTTTGTTGTTTGTATGGGTAAAATTCTTCTATTTTACACTTTGCTCTTTGGTTTGGGAATATCTATGATATTAAGCATAAACTAACCAGGACTGCTATTTATAGAGCACATGAATATAAACTTTTTACTTTGTTCTATACATTCTTATTGCAAATATAATTTCACATAAAACAATAATAAATGTTATATTTATGTATTTATTAGATTTTTAAATAAATTATTTTATAGTGTTAGTATATTAAACACGTATCTATACTCTACTTATGAAATTATATTTTTATTATAGTGTATTAAATAATAATTATTTTATATTTGATTTATTTATTTATTTTCTTTTTGGGTTTGAATTTCTTTTCAAAAAAAGAAAGGCACGTTATAATTATATTCCTTTAATTTGGTTTACTACTTTATAGAAAGAAAAAGGAAAATTATTGGTTTTGTTTTTTCCCATAAAATTGTTGGTATTTTCTCATTTCTCATTACTTTCAGTGTACTTTAATTTATAATGCTTTACCACCATATTGTGTCGTTGTTAATAATAAAAAAGTCGGATTTAATCAATTAATTGGTTTGATTTTTTGGAAATTAATATCTTATTTTGGTTGATGGGAATAAATTATGGTACGATAATTTTTTAAAGGGTAAAATACATAAATGATCTCTCGACTATATGATATTGTTTTATTGAATCTCTTGACTATTAAAGTTATAAAATAGTCATATGGCTATAGAGTGTTGCTTTGTTGAGTCATGACTATTAAAAGTTACAAAATAGTCACATGACTATTCATTATGTTACAAACCCGTCCTTTTTCGTTAAAAGTTTACAGTATTTTGAGTTGAACGTTAACATGCTGATTGTGATATGATAATCATTTGATATTCTATGATCAAATTTATTATATCCCTATAATCATGTTAACGTCCAGCTTAGATAATTATCAATTTTTAACGGAAAAGGACAATTTAAACCATAGTAAATAGTTGGGTGACCATTTTGTAACTTTTAATAGTCGAAGAACTTAACAAAGAAATATTTTATAGTCAGAGGATCATTTTATAACTTTTAATTGTTGAGAGACTAAATAAAGTAGTACCTATAATCCAGGACCATTTGTATACTTTACCCTTATTTTAAAGCAAAAACAAAAATAGTATGCATTTAATTGACATGCAACTTTTTTACTAATTAAACTTGAGTACTTAAATCTTACAAAATCTTAATAATCATATAATCGAACAGCTGAAAAAAATATTATTTAGGGGAACAAAACTCGATTTGATTTAAAAAATCAATTTTTTCGACTCTATTCTACTTGAAAAAAAATTAGACTCTAATTGACTTAAAGTTGTAATTTTATAAACTCCATTAAAAAATCATATTTAAATCGAGTTGTAAAATACAACTCAAATAACTTAAACTTTTTATTAATGAGTAGATTGATTTTCAAGTTTGGGTGGAGTCCTTCGACTTTGTATGTTGTATGTAAATCACATATGAAAAATATGAAAAAAATATATATGTATTGTATATAGTTATAAATTACCATTTAAATTAAACTCAAATAATGTCATAATATTTTAAATATTTACAATTAAATTTAAAAAGAAATTCAAAAATTTGACTCGAATTGAATTTTATAAAATCTACTCAACTAAAAAAAATTCAAGTCAACTCCGAGTTATAAAATATGACTCGTCAACTCGAATAACTCGAAATTTTTTGACTCGACTCTTTCGAACGCTCACCCCTAATATTATCATCTTAACGATAAATAACTTATCAGTGGGAGGGTAGGAGTAGGGATGGGCACGAGACCCGAATACGACGGGTTTTGACCCAACCCAACTCAAACAAGTTGATTTTTTAAAAAAGGGTTTGGGTCGAGTCAGGTTTTTAAAAAATATATTCGGGTCAAGTCCGATCGAGATTAGGTTTAGGGTGAAAAATAACTCACTTGACCCAACCCAAAAAATTATGTAAATTTATCTTATATTTAGGGATAATTATAATAATAATTATCTATATATTATTTTTTCAATTAAATCTTATTTTTATTGAAAAAATATTTTTTTTATAAATATGTTTATTTTAGGTCGATTGGACCGAGTTTCGAGTGTAGAGTTTATACTTTTGAGTCATATCGCATTTACCGAAAATTTGGTCCGATCCAAACCAACCCATCATCTCTACGTAGGAGGCAAACAAGCCCAACCTCTTTCGGCTAAATGAAACAAAATAAATCAGTATAAAAGAATATTTTAATCCCTATATTATATATAAAAGATTATTTTAGTTCCTCTATTGTAAAAATATTTTAGTCTATGTACGTTTAAAAAGTTAATATTTTGGTCCAAAACATAAATTATTGTTAACTGACTTAGGTCCCGTTTGGCGTGACCTAAGATATTGCTTTGGATCATCGACTATAAGATATTGTATTTTTGAGTATCTAACTATTAAAAGTTATAAACTGATCCCTTAATTATAAGACATTGCTTTGTGAAGTCCTCCGACTATTAAATATTACAAAATGATATCTTAATTATAAGACATTGCTTTGTCAAGTCCTCCAACTACTAAAAGTTACAAAATGGTAACTCGACTAATCATATGTTTCAGACTTCATTTTATGTTAAAAAATTGATGGTTGTCTAAATTGGATGTGAACATGTTGACTAAGATGTGATAAAATTTGATTCTAGAACCGTTTGAGTTGTATTTTGTGGATTGACTCTCCATTTATATTATATCGTCGAGCCAATGCTTAACATATTATGTCGTCGAGTTAGTGCTTGAAATCAATAGTGATATCAGTAGACATCATTAAAATGATCTTATCATATCTCAATCAATATGTTATTTTTTAGCTCAGACGAATGTCAATTATTTAACAAAAAATGATGAGTGTAAAACATATAGACAGTCAAATTACCATTTTTTAAATTTTAATAATTGAGGGACTCAACAAAATAGTACCATATAATTGAGAGATTATTTTATAACTTTTAATAATTAATAGACTCAATAAAATAATATCTTATACTCGATGAATTCAACAAAATATATACTATAATCGAGGGAATTTTGATATAGTTTATCCTATAGGTATTGTATTCGAATCTAGAATAATATATTTTAGACATAAAAGCCGGGGTGAGATTGTAGTTATCCTTTTTAAGCATTGTAAAAGAAAAAACAAAAAGTGGCACAAAACAATCAAAGACACGAACCTAAGTGCCAACAATTACTTGTCCTACTAAACTGTCGTTAAAAGATGTTAGCCACGTGGCATATGAAGACAGCCCTCAATTCAGTTTTCAAAAAATCCCGGAATTACCCCTTTCCTTCGTGACTAAGTATGCAACTGCCGGGACGACCACGTGAGCTCACCTCGGCCTGTGCTTTTATTAAAATTTAGTACTTTCCTTAACTGCCATTCAGTTATTCACTCCCACCCACTAATAATAGAGTGAGACCTCTTTTCTCTTTTGGACTATTCATGCCACCTGGATTTCGACCTTGTCTTCACCACCACGTGTTTTTACATCTTGATTTATATAGTAAAATATATAAATAATCCCTCGATTATAATATGTTATTTATTGAGTTTTTGACTATTAAAAGTTATAAAATAGTTTTGACTATAAAAATTGCTTTGTTAAGTATTAAAAGTTACAAAATGATCATTCAACTATTTATTATATTTCAAACTCGTCATTTTCCATAAAAAAAATAATGATCGTATGAGTTGAACATTAACATGTAGACTGAGATACGATAGTTATTTGAGATTATGAGATCACATTTTATCACATCTCAACTAGTAAGTTAGTGTACACTCAGACTACCATCAAAATTCCAATGAAAAATGACGAGTTTGAAACATAATAAACAGTCAAATAATCATTTTATAACTTTTTAATAGTTGAGTGACTCAACAAAGCAACTTTCTATAGTCGAGGGATTATTTTGTAACTTTTAATAATTAAGAGACTCAATAAAATAGTATCCTATAGTTGAGGGACCATTTTTATACTTTGCCCTACTATAATTTACATGTAAATAAATATTAAAGAATTAATTGTATAAGAGATTTTCGAATTATTTTTGTAGAAGTTAGTTTTATTTAAAAGAAAAAAAATCTAAAATTATAATAAAAGTAGTTTTTATAATGATTAATATAAGAAATTATTCATTTAAGATCACACAAGGATCATATAAAAAATGTTAAAAGACTTAACAAAAAAAACTCAAATAAAAGATAGCTATAAAAAAATTTGATTGTATAGATAAACAAATTACAAAAAGAGGTTAAGCTAATAAAATTGCACTGAAAATCCATAAATCATAGTCAAGCGATGTGAGAGAACTATCCAAAAAACAAATAGAATATCCAAATTCAATCCGACAAACTAAAGTATGGAAGATCAACATATTAATAAATAAGAGTCATTTTTTTATTAATTTGGGGTAATTACAAGGTAGTAATGTTCAAATATAACTTTCAATCATTTGATATTAAACACTCACACTCCTGGTATTCCTGGTGCTCGAACCCGAGACCTCAAAGAATAACAACAATTCTCTTACCACTGAGATCGCTCGATTTGTGCAAATAAAAGCCATGTCAATTAGTCATAACCTTGTCAAATCTAACTATAAGAAAAAAATATAAATGAAAACAACGACTAAATAATCGAAAGCATGCAAAAAATTAGAGGGAAACATGTCATAAAAATAGAGAAAATCATAAAAAGATAATAACTTAAACCTAAAAAAAATTAAAAAAATGATATAATAAAAAAGTTTGACTTCGATAACCCATACTAAAAAACAAAATCTAAAATTTGAGGAAACAATCTTAACAAAATTGGTTTAACGCGACTGAAAATGTTGACTTATTTATGTGTAATATATTATGATGTAACTATTTGAAAATAACTTAAAATGATTTAACATGGAAACTTATCTTACAAGTTAAAAGCGGAACATAAGATGTTATAATGCAGAACTGAAAAAAT